TCTAGAATAGGTCTCGAAGGGGGCATTGAAGGCCTTTATATAGACAGCCTGAAGGTTGTGATCTGGCCTGATCCTTCGCTATGGCCTTCGTCAGAAGGCCCTGGCTGAAGGTTCTGTGTGGTTATTTCTCGTATTAGATTTAATAGTATAAGGCCGATTATTTTAGTTCCAACAGAACCAAAGTCTCCATACTGCAAGGGTGGGCAGAATCCCGGATACTTTGAGGGGAAGATGGAAAGGAAACAAATAGTGTTACAGGGCCCCGAACCATTTCTCTAGATTGTAGGATATTCTCGGATGATGGCTGTGGAACTTCTGTTCCGATCGAAAAGAGCGGCCCAACGAAGCCAGGGGTCTCCAAGGCTGTACTCAATAGTGTCACATTCGTCCTAGGTTCTCTTCGCCTTCGCGCCGTTTCGCACATGATAAGGGCGAAATTGAATTATTTCGACTTGCTCGCCTCCGGATGATGCCTATAACAGATGAAACTGGGCTTATCATAGGCTGACCAGATCCTACATAATTAAGGGCTTATGTCCCCTCGGTCTCTCATGATCGAGAGTTTCACACACCGTACCGATTACCTTTTTCTTATAGGAAGCATTAATGGCTCTCTGCAGCATGTCAACAGTGGAGGATAGTATGGCGTCGTTAGAACCGTAAGTAAAACGTCCACTTACGCACTTTAGTCAAGATCATTTGGCCACCCGGGACGCTGTACTGACATCAAGGGCTTTTCCAGCTCCCGGCCGCACGCAGCCGCGATGGTCCGCATATTGGTCGGCCCAAGTCAGAAGGCGTTCATTGTACACAGAAGGCTCCTTTGTGCTTCAAGTGAATTCTTCCGTCATCGCTTGGAGACTGGTGATTCAGCCCAAAGTGGCCCGGGGAGTGGGCTGCCGGCAGCATCCAGAGGACACCATGACGAGATACTATGGCTTCCAGAAGAGTGCCCCGATATGATGGAACTGTTCTTCCTCTGGCTCTACCGGAGAATCTAATTTCAGGCCCTTCTTGAGCAAATGATAACTTCTGTGGCCCTTGACCTAAGGCCAGCCGAGAATTCCAAGACCCCGATCAGCAGGAGAACTATTCATCGGAATCTTGTAAGGCTCCATCTATTCGCCGCCTTCATCCGTCTACCGCCATTGCAAGACATAGCCATGGATGCAATACAGGACTTCTACCTCCGGTGTGACTGGGATGTGTCCACCAGCCTTTTACGGCACCTATACCAGGACTGCCCCAGGGAGCAAAGCTTGCGCCTCCGGCAATGGGCGGTCGCTATGCTAGCCTGGACGTTGAGCAACGGAGGCAACGATCCTCTTGCATATAACAAGTTGTTCGCCGAGTTCCCAGATCTGTGGGAAGACTATGTCAGGCACGTCCACAGGTCGGTCGACTGCAATGTCGATGTACGGGTCAAGAACCCACAACTCAGACTTCTTCGCAACAGGCTCAAAAGTGAGGAGCGTCAGTTTGGCTTCCGACAATGCTCGTTCCACAGTCACCGTTCAGGTGTTGGAGAGGGGAGGTGTCCTCTCATGATAGAGGTAACCTCATCTTGATCACTTTGAAATACAGAATTCCCACAGAGCACACGCCTTGCAAATATTTCAAAAAAGAACCCTGCAATGCGGCAGGATACTTGAAAGGAGAACTAACTGTGATTATTACACTGGCCCACATACAACTTTTTGGGCTGAGCGGAACATTGGATCTGACCAGAACGGAGTTCGTGGTGCACGAGGTTGCCTCCGTAATCGAGGGCATCCTCGAGGACAGCACGAAACGCATCGCCGACATGGACATCATCACGCCTTCCGAAAGATCACAGCTCAGCATACTTTGTCCTCCGGTAGACAACCACCCTGCGTTGCTGCACAGCAAGATCGAGGAGGCCTCGGCGTCTTGTCCAGACCGAACGGCAATTCAGTACGGGCCGTCCGTAACCTGCACATACGGACAGCTCAACTGACGTGCCAACCAGGTAGCGCAATTCCTGCGATCCAAGGGCTTGGGTCCAGGGAGTCTAGTGCCAATCTGCCTGCCGAAGTCGATTAAGGCCATCGTGGCAATACTTGCTGTGCTCAAGGCAGGGGCAGTGTTTGTGCCCCTGGACCCGGAAAACCCGCCGGAAAGAAACAACTTCATCGTCTAAGACATGTCGGCCACGGTTCTGACATCTTCACCTCACAGACAAGAACCTAAGGGGCATCTTTGACACCCAATCTTGTACCGCGGACGTGATAGACGTATACGCCATCAAGTCTGCCCAGCTCGACTCGGCGCCCCTGTACGCGGCTAAGGTGGGCCTAGAAGCAGATTGCCTGGCATATTGTATTTACACGTCCGGGTCAACAGGACTGCCCAAGGGCGTTCCCGTCTCTCATGAGGCCATCTCCGCCGGCATCGACAGCATTATCGAGGCCGAGTCGGTCGAGCCGGGCTGGCGTCTCCTCCAGTTCTCCAACTTCTTCTTCGACGTGTCTGTCAGCGATATCTTTCGCATGCTCAGCGTCGGCGCGACGCTCTGCATGGCGCCCATAGAAGTCATGCTGTCTGACCTGACCAGGGTTATCAACGACATAGGTGTCACCCAACTTTTCATAACCCCCACTGCAACAAAGCTTCTGCGGCCGGAGAGGTACCGGACGTGGAGGGAATCTACCTCGCCGGCAAGCTAGTCCCTGAAGACCTAGCAGAGACATAGACCGCCAGGGACTGTACTGTTATGAACTGACCAAGGCGTCTATACTCTCTGTAATGCCTGTGACGCGGTCCGCGCTGCCGCTTTCGTGATTAGCCAAGTCTGCCACGTCGGGGAGGGAGGCCCAGCATTGGTGACGTGGCGACCATGTTGAACATCCACCGATCAGACAGCATGTTTTATTCGTAGAACCTTGACGCTTCATATACACTCTCCTATAAGATGTGCCCTTTGGGCTTCCTCCGCCGATGTGACGGCGCCTAGTTTGCGCTTCCCACAAGGCGGGAGACCCCAAGCAGCCTGATCAAAGGCTACGGACAGTCAGATCCTTCCTGTCTACTTCACAACTCCTCTAGTCGTCGTTTCCCGTGCGGGGCGATACATATGAGCTCATTAGACACTCAGCTACAGGAGGCTTGGTGTCATGACAGGACTCAAGAGGCCTCAAGTGCTGCTTCAACCAAAAAAGTCGTATTCGGGGAGCGCCTCGAATTCGCACTCGAGATGACCTCTGCACAGGACCACGGCATGCTCCTTAGCCTCCTCTTCCGTCTTGGGGACGGACACCTGCCTTTCGTAGGTGAAGGAATCAATTTTGAAGCGGCCACCGTCGCCGGGCTTAATGTTAAGGGTGTAAAACACCATGTGTGAAAAGAAGCGGATGATGTGAATGGAAGTGATGCCGGCCTCGTCCGGACCCGTGGCTAAAAAGAACCACTTGTCGTCATGGTCTGCTGGCCTGAAGCCGGCTTGGAGCTTCTTGAAGTCTGCGTCGCTGATGTCGATATGCCATGGTGTTGTCTCAGGCTCTACTATCGGGGGTGGTTTGTACCCTTCGGGCACCAGGTCTTCGACATCTGATCCTGCGCTGTTCGAGATATGTTGTTAGCGAAAAAGGGCGGTGTTTTCCTAGCTCCGCCACGGGGTGTGCTAGCTCGTACTCTGCGATGACGTCCTTTGGCATGGTGTCACCGTTCATGGCGTCTCGTGGGTGGTATTCTTTTGCTGTTCAAGACGTTGTTATTAGCCATCCATTATATAAGTATATTGGGTGCATGTTCGACCGCGTCTAGAAGTGGGTACAAACTAATAAACCTGGGATTGATCCGTCTGCACAGGCACGTTAGGTAGATTTGGGGTTCTAGGATGGATATTCGAAGGACGAGGGAAAAGCTGGAGGAATGTCTAGGGAATAAGAGAGGCTGTGCCCGAGGCCACGCGCTGCAAGTGCCAGGGACAAGTTGGTCAAGGAAGCTTCGAGCCATGCAATACCTAGGCCGTTACGAGACAACAATGGGGTAGTGTACGACCTTATGCTGTCAGCATAAAAGGTTTTCTCGAGCTCATGTGTGTGTGTCCTGTCCCATCTATGACTTAGCAGCAACAGCTCAGTGTGATTATCAGCACTTTAGTGAAAAAGTTCAGTCCTCTCAACTTTACCTACATATAACCCAGCTGGCGTGATTCAAAATTACGTAGGGTGGCAATAAAACTTACTACGTGGGTAAATGACTGAATATCACTGTAGGTCACATATGCAACATCTATCCTAGAAAGTGAAACATAAAGTAGAATTCGAACGACAGAAAACCAGATCTATACCCGGATCATTCTCAGACCCAGGGTTAGGGTCGCACATCTTCACTACCACCTCCAGTGGGATTCGACAACAACTAAATGGTCAGCATACTGGAGATAGGTCATGCTATGATACTTGGCTGGAGTGTAAGTGGATGGATTACTAGGACCTCTAGGGCTTAGAGGGGGGCTGTCCAGGGGCTCCGGTCCCGAAGTTTCGGAAGACCGGCCCCGGGAACCCGGAGCTGACCCGGAGTCCTGATCCTGTTCCTCAAGCCAACGCAACTCACAACAGCGGAGCGCTATACATACTGGGATGGTGAGTGATATAGGTCTGAGTGCAATGGAAGTTGAAAAGAACGCACAGACGGATTGCAAGCAGTTCGATGCCAACCTCTGAGCGACAAGGATAGAATACTTCTACGCATGCCTACCTTAGTAGTTTGCCACCATCAAACCACCACCACCGGTAAAGCTCAGATTGGTGTGACAGTGCCCAGGTGGTGCAATGGTCATCAGCCATGAGTTGTTCATCGCAACGCGCTGCACTAGACACGCCGGGTGAATGATTTGCAAACAGAAACAGACCCCTCACATCCCGATCTCCATAACGGAAACAAAACGGAAGAGGGATATATATCCCTCAACCACTACCAACTCCAACAATCAGCGACCAAGCTACACTCGGTTCTACCGAGAATAACAAGATACATCTTCCGTAGTATAGTGGTCAGTATATGAGCTTGTCAAGATCTCTTCGGAGACTCGCCATCGCTCGGGACCCGGGTTCAATTCCCGGCGGGAGAGTTTTTTGATCTTGACTCGTATGGTTGCCCCTTTTTGCTGCTTTCTGCCCCGTCCGAATACGTTACCTACTGCTTGTCACTGGTGGTCAGGATACACCTACACAGGCTTGTCCAGGCTCTTCTCTAGCAGCTGTTATTATTTTGAAATATAGATCTTAAGGTACTTGTCGGGTACCTTCATCTTAGTGTAGCAATGTTAGCTCCGGAGTTCCATCGGAGGAGCGGGCCGGGTTGATACCGGGGTTATCGGCATTGAACCGGCTTATGAATTACGATGGCTTTCGAAATCCTTGCTTTAGTACACACGGAGCTACTACGATTTCAAAGTCAAATCGAAACACACCTACAGTGGCAGCGACAGCGGTAAGATCACGCTTACGGAGATTGTTGAAGCAGGTGGTATGATAAGTGGTGTGGTTCATAAAGCACGGGAATAATTTCTCCGTATGCTATAGAATTCGGTACCTGAAATGATTGTATACTGTATACATTGTCTTTTTGATAGTCTACTAGAGAAGTCCTTCTGCTGCTCCCTCATCAAAGAGATCAATGTGCCTTGATTCCACGGCAAACCTTGTTCCACCAGTAGAACCCTTCGTGACTGTCTTAGAACTCATACCCCATAATACGCAGATATACACATCTGACATCTGCCATTGCCCAGGCCTTCCAAAGGGCTGTTTACTTAGATTAGCTACTTGAATAATCAGCTTGAATCATGCGTATCGAAGGACATAGCAGGCAATGGGCTGGCAAGGCTGGTGATTGGGACCAACCAGAAGAGGGTACATATACATCGAGGCAGTACGAGTCCTCATCCACTATCACTTAGCTATCATATTGATAAAACTGATATGGATGGGACTACTGACTTCCAATTTCAGGGACTCAATATAAGCCACCGATATCAAATACGTCTTCCCTCATCGTCGCTCTTCCCCCGCGGGCCGTGACCACAGCCTACAATGCTGGTGTATCGGCAAAGTTGCCCTGCGTACCGACTGGCGTTCGTTCACCAACAACCCCGCCCAATGATGAAATGGTCTTTCTGATACGAGCATCATCTCCAGCTGTGATCGTGATCTTCAATGAGTCCAGGTTCTGTTCCAAGTACTTGATGTTCTTGGTACCTGGGATAGGAAAGAAGTCTGGTCCCTGGGCAATGTTCCATGCGAGGACCACCTGAGCTGGCGTAGCACCCTTCTGAACCGCAAGTTCCTCAAAGATCTTGACAAGATCGAGGTTCTTAGCGAAGTTCTCGGGGCTGAAGCGAGGGAGCTGTCGACGTGAATCGTTCACTTCAAAGTCGTCCAAGGATTTATACCTGATGGTTGCCAGTCAGCCACTTGTTACGACAGGACGATTTTCTTATGGTCCTTCGTACTAACCTTCCGGTAAGGAACCCTCTTCCCAAAGGGCTGAAGGCCACAACGGCCACGCCGAGTTCCCGGCATGTGGCCAGCAGATTTGTGCCCGCTTCAGTCTCGATGTCTAGGGTCCAGGGGTTATATTCAACCTGAACAGCAGAGACAGGGCTGACAGCAAAACCGCGTCGAAGGGTCTCGGATGAGCACTCCGAGAATCCAATATGCTTGATTTTGCCCTCTCTACATGGTCATAGTCAGCAGGTGATTCGCGTCAAGGGAATGGCCGGATGGCAACGTACCGCTGGAGGTCTACCAAAGCTTCCATGGTCTTCTCGACTGGCGTCTTACCGTCGAAGCGATGGACATAGAAGAGGTCTATGTAGTCGACACCGAGCTTCTGAAGGGACTGCTCGATGGCCTTTCGGCAGTTTTCGGGAGTACTGTCGAAGAACAGGTTGACTTTCCCGTCATTGATGGTCCACGAAATGCCAAACTTGGTGGCCAGAAATATGTCCTGGCGGCGATCCGGATGCCTTCGAAGCCACTTGCCGATGAGAACTTCGCTGTCCCCATATGCCTGGGCAGTGTCCCAAAAGGTTGCCCCCAGCTCCCAAGCCCGATCCAAGATTTTGAGGCGTTCCTCTTCGGGCCTGGTTTCCTGATCAATGGCATATCTTCTCTGTGGGAGACTGGCGGACTTACGGGACCGTGCCGTACGATGCACTGAGGCCCATCAGGCCAAAGCCCAAACTGGGCACTTGCGGTCCATCCTTGCCCAATTGTCTGGTGGGGAGCTTGTTTGGGGAAGGCATTCTGAACGATCTCCCGGTCTGTGTAAGATCTTGATGATTACAGTTGCGGTAGTTCGCAGCGTTCCAAGCTGAAGACACAGGGTGAGGCTTCCCTTTTATAATCAATACTATGCCCACTGCCTCCCCTCTCCCACGGCCCCCATCACACACTGCTTGTCAGACAAATAGACAATCAAAATTCCCATCAGCAAGGATCGATGCCAACACTCGAGGCACAAGGTCGTGTTTGCTTTGGTACGCAAACAGATGTCATCCGAGGCCCATGGTTCTACTTATTAGTGCTTACCCGGCTACAACACCGAACAGGCCGGAATCAGAAAGGATATACCCAAAACCCAATCATCGGCATCCTTTGGGACACCCGGAATGCCATCATCTACACCGATTGACTCATCTCCGGGGTCAACCGGATCAGATTCAATGGGAGACGTTTCTTGGAGTGTGTCCGACGGGTGTAGAAGCTTCCATATCCGGAAATGAACCACAATAGAAAATATGGATATAGTATATCGAAGCCCTGAATCGGCCCGAGGATTGATCATCCAATCCTTGCCCTACTTCCATATAAGGATCCGTGATACCTAGAGTATATACTTAGATGTTTAGATAGCAATCACGTGGCTACCTGGGTAGTTCTCTAGAGGTATGGCGCAACCTGCGCTTCACTCCACTCCCAAAGCCTCAAATTCCCGCCAGTTCCACCCTCAGCTTCGGTTCTGGTCGCGAGAACCATGTCTTCACGTATAGGGTAGACGCGGCCGAATGGGATTACTGTAAGAAGTATTAGTAAAGAGTGAAAGTCTCTCACATCACGATATAGTATCTAGCCATGTGAAGTGGGCATATGAGAAGCCCTAGGACGACTTACCCCAACAGCCAGTATTGTCAATATTGACCTCCGGAGACAACCCAGCAAAAAGCTCGGTATAAGCCCCGTTAACGGGTGGGTACATCATCAACTTCTCCAAAATCTTGAAGAACCAGCCCAGGTCACGGTATAGATCCGACTGAAGGTTCCCCGGATTCAGTGGAACGCTGACCACGCCGTCTGCCTGGTGGCGCCTGGCATACTCGGCAGCATGGGCCCAGTTGGCAACCTTGCTGAACCAATACCGCTGGAATCCATAGCGAGCTCCCTGGGCTTCAAGACTCAGTGTCTCCGGCCTGACACCAATCTTTTCCTCGGCAAAGACCTCTGCTGCGGACGACGCCGTCCAGACGACACGGACTGTGCTGGGGGGCTCTGACTTGGCTGTCTCGACGAGGATAGGCGTCAGAAGCTGCGATAGGAGGAACGTGCCGAGAACATTGACCCCGGTATGCAGCTCATATCCCTGTGCGGTGACAGCCACCTCCTTCGCCCCAGAAAGCACGCCTGCATTGTTGAAAAGCACGTGCAGCTTGGCCTCGAGGGCTAGGAAGTTCTGGACCGTCTGCTTGATGGTGCTGAGATCGGCGAGGTCTAGTTTAATGAAATGGAGTGATCCGCCCGAGTTAGGCACCGCCTGTTGGATGTCTGCAACCGCAGCGCTCGTCTTCTCTTCGGAGCGTGCTAATAAGTACACCTTGGCATTATTGGTGTAGAGCAGGCGGGTCAGCTCTTTGCCCGTGCCTGTATTTGCGCCTGTGACGATATAGACTTTGCCTGTGAGATCTGGTACGGCCTTTCCGGTAAAGCTTGGTTTTGGCGGAAAGAGCTGTGTCAAGCTGCTCTTGAGTGAAGGGCTGGGTGCCATCGTGATATAGCGATTCTAGTGCTGCGATGTTTTGTTGCCTGGTCGCTTGGTGGAAGATCCAAGCTTGAGCAACCAATGCAATAATTAGGAGAGCGAGGACAGATTCAACAGTCTTTACCGAGCTGCTCCTGGGGTGAGTTGAGTGTGGAGCAAGTCAATGAGAGAAGAGCTTTGGGGTCTACCCAACAGTGAGTGTCATATATATATCCCCCAAGCCTGAGCAATGAATTGGCTCAAACGGTGTCTTCTGATGGTAACATGTACTGTGGCTGCATACAGAAGGGTTAGGGTTTCTGGAGATCTTGCCTCTGACAAGTACTGTAGGCCCCTTCAGCTTCTCGAAATCGAACGAACACAAAAATTTTATATATATCATCCCTCTAGTTCTTTATAGACCGAGTATGCATCCACCATTTTATGTCGGGGTCATTTTCTGTAAACTCAGGGCCGCCTTGATGTATCAATCTGCCCCTTGGCACGTCGGTTATATCCTCCAGGTTGGAGAACTCCTCGCGCGGTCCTTCTGAGGCGTTGCTTCTGTCGGTATCAAAGACCTTTCGCCTCGAACTCTCTGACCGTTGAGAACCAGCCTCGAATGAAACATGGAAATAACGGAATGGCAAACCCTGAGATCTTCATGAGATGAGCCGGGGATATGACGATGTCTGCATCATCGCACAGGACGAGGATAAAGTACTGGTCCCGCACCAATACCAAATCAGCGAGAAGGGTCCACGGGTAGTAGAAGGCCGCGGCGTTAGGTGGCGACAGCGACATCCTTGAAGAGCTTCTCCCGCTTCATGCACAACGCAGCGATCAACATAACGCCCCCCGCAACAGGGACCAGCACAAAGGTCATCTTCATCGCCCCGGTGACAGCCACGATGGCCCTGTCCCGAAGCTCACCATCCAGCTTCCCAAACAAGGTGCTCTGCACGCCAGCCACCGCGCCCCGTATTTCCTGGTCCGAGAATCCGTTACCGGCCAGGACCGCCGAAAGGTTTCTGAAGGCCGTCGACTGGTAGATCTGCCCGGCGATGGCGAGCGCGATGACCTGGCCGCCGATCTGCGCCATGTTCTGCAAGC